TACTAGTGGCTGTCATAAACCTGTTATGCCTTAAAATTCCTCATGGAGGAGTTTGTAGACTTTTGAGTGCTTTATACATGTTTCCTGAAAAAGCAGACCTACCTTGCAAAAAATCTGAATTTAAAACAAATGTGAAACTATGCAAGTATAGTGTAAGATAAAACAGTGATAGTTACAAAATTGTTCAAAGTTCTTTGTTTAAACTCTTGGAAGGAGGAAAGAATCTTTTGTTTGTCTTGAGCATAATTTCATTCCCTGTCTGGCTGCTTAGTCTGTAATTTATGCACTGCATTTTTTTTTGAGAAGACAACTATGTGGTGCCTTTCTTTTAGCTCTCTTCTTGCAATTGAGAGAAGTATTAAATTGTAGAAAGGTTCTTTTACTGTTCTAATTTTTAGATACCCAGTTGCAGAATAGCATCTAGTATCACAGTACACTAAAAATATGCTTTAAAAGTTTTTATATTTTTTTTCTTTTCAGATTTTGTAACTACTGGAGAGGATAGATCTCTTAGAATCTGGAAACAAGGGGAATGTGCTCAAACAATCAGACTCCCAGCTCAGTCTGTATGGTGCTGCTGTGTGTTAGACAATGGTGACATCGTAGTTGGTGCAAGGTATCCAGGTTTTACTCTCAGTGTATTTTTAGATCTAAATCTGCAAACCCTTGATGAAATTGCAAGCATCACTTTAGATATCAGTTTCATCTATATTTAAAAATACAGCCATCAAAGTGTCTATGGGGATTTAAACACGTGAAGTATACTTCATCCAAAAAGTCATTCATTTGTTATGTGGATCACAAAGGTAGAGTGAGTTCTTTGAGAATGTAAACCATGAATAGACTGAAAATGGACTTACAAGTACTGTATAAAGAACCCTTTTGATAGGCATATCCTGTGGGAATAAATGAGATAGTGTTTTGCTTTGACGAGATGCAGCTGTGCCCTTTGGGCTTGTTACAAACAGGTTCACAGGAATGCAGCTGTGGCCTTGAGGCTTGTTACAAACAAGTTTGTGAAACTTAGAGGCAGAAAAATAAGGATGAGATTGGATACATCCCTGAAAGAGGAATTCACATGCACCAGCTTGAAGAACCAATAAGTAACGCTGAAGAGACGCGTGGATGCAAGACAGTAGCCAGTGAAATGGGTTTTGCTTGCTCGTGAACGCTAGATCATATTATAAAAGGGATAGATTGTAAAAATAAAGTGTCGTCGTCATTTTCGCTTGTCTTCGCTTGCCTTCGCCTAAACTCATATGTGGAGTCCGTGTTTAATTGCCACGGTATCCTACCTTGATTTTAAAATTATACTACAGATAGGATTACCTGCTGAAATCCTTCTCTGGGTGTTTTTAGCATCAGAGCGAATTCCTTTCATAAAAATAATTGGGAGGGGTTGTTAGAAATAACGATGGTTTCTCATGACATAGAAATCACCATTAGAATGTATGTAATCATTTTGACATTCAAAATAGTATTTCTGTTTGAATGTTTTCTCTCCATTCAGTGATGGAATTATAAGAGTGTTTACAGAGTCTTTGGAACGTACAGCAAGTGCCGAGGAGATTCAGGCTTTTGAAAATGAGCTTTCTCAAGCATCCATTGACCCTAAAACTGGTGATTTAGGAGATATTAATGCTGATGACCTTCCTGGAAGAGAACATCTTAAGGATCCTGGTAAGTTATTGTACTTTTGTGATGTTAGAGATGCCTCCAAATCTTGGTTTGAGATACTGAAACTCTCCATAGTTTCTAAAATTAAGGCTTTGATCACTTACAATAGAGTTGCTGAAGAAAACAGCTTAATTTTCCTCTACTATCCTTTCATTGATTCTTTTGGAGGCAAGACTCTAGTTTAAATATATAAGTGTTTTTGTAGACTAAAATGGTAAAAAATATTTGTTATGAGATAATTTAGAAGAAGGTGGAATTCAGGATGCTGCAGCATGTTCAGGATGTTTTGGATCTGTTATGCCAGCTGTGCCAATAGTATACGAGACAGTTACGTAGTGTGCAAAAGGACTACTGAATGTGGAGTTTTCTTCCTAAAAGAAAAGTAGATGCAAATTTTCTGCTTTAGCTTTCCGCTTGAAAAATAGTTTGTCTTGACTCAGTTTACACTTTCCAGGTACTCGGGAGATTACTGAGAATACAGTGGAAACAGTGGTAGTTAATCATAGAATCATAGAATCATTAAGGTTGGAAAAGACCCTTAAGGTCATTACTCATAAATAGACAAATTACTCATAAATAGACAAATTACTCATAAATAGACAAATTACTCATAAATAGACAAATTACTCATAAATAGACAAATACTTTTTCCCAAGGTGAAGTAACCAGTGACCTCAGCCCTTGGCTCTGATCAGCAAGTGGCATAAATCTTACAGTCGTATGAAGCTTCCCATCTTGTTAGACCATGGGAGAATATCACCCTTGATTGCCATCTCCCTGGGAAAATGGTAAACTTTTGAAATACTTAAGGATTGCTTTTGCAACTTAGTCCAGTGACAGATACCATTACTCTAATAGTAGAATGCTGTTGTCAAGATTTCTGCTATTCTTGTTGCAACATGTAGTATCTAGTTACTTTCTGTGCTGTGAGTTTAAATGTGGGTGAACTATGTTTTCATCTTTAAATTGAGCGCTATTTGAAGACTTCTTTCTCTCCTAAAGTAAATTGTATTCTTGAATTTGTTCAAACTCTTAAACACTCCTGTCTACAGGAACAAGAGATGGACAGACACGGCTTATTAAAGATAATGGGAAAGTAGAAGCATATCAGTGGAGTGTCAGTGAAGGAAGATGGATAAAGATTGGTGATGTTGTTGGTTCTTCTGGAGCCACGCAACAAACATCTGGAAAGGTTTTATTTGAAGGAAAGGTATATGCAAACTTTAATTAGTTTTATTCGTTCCTAAGTAAAATGCTTAATTTTCCATTAAAAATTTATTCCAGTCTTTGCTTAGATAAAATATAATTTAGAAAGTAGATATTTGTTGGTACTTCTTTGTTGTCTTTGATCTATTAAAACTCCGAGGTAGAAGTATAAGTAAGTACTACTTGCTTTATGATTTTTGAAACACATTTTGTAAAATGAGTAAGCCAATGGAGACAAATTATTTTGGAGAATTGTAAACTATTAGTAGAGAAGTGATCAAGTTCTCTAGTATTTATTGCTAATACCTTGAAAAGTTAGTTTTAACCTCCTTTCCAAAGGAGGTGAACTGTACAATATATAATGCAAGGCTTACCTAAAATATTAGGTACCAGACTTTCTGTACCCCTTTTCTGTAGTAACTTTTGAACCTAAAGACAGATAAGCTGAAAAATGTTTCCTTTACTGAAATACACATAGAAAAGTCTGTGTCTAGTGCCACCACAGAAGAAATGCCTTTGACATACTAATTTTCTCTCTCGCATGGTTTACAGAAACCTTAGGAATTTGTTGTTTTCTAGTATTAGAAGTGTGCTTTTAAGACAAGTTTTTTGAGGCATCTGACTGCCCTATAGCTTTGCAGGCAGCCAGAGCTGTCCATGAGAGTTACCTGATGTGTCTGTTATTTTGTAATATATCTGCGCACACATTATCATGATATGTGTTGTTCTAGCCCGCTCTTCTTGAGACAGAGAATTCTGGCACAGGACATGCCTTAAGTATTTTTTACTTGCAGCCTGTGTAGGAGAGTGTTATTGATACAATCTGCAAGTAGCAGTATTCAAGTTTTTAGGCTTAGCCCTGGGCCATTATTAGTCTGCATTTGATACATCTTTATGTAAAAAGTGCTGACAAACTTCTAATTGTTTTTATTTTTATTCTGCTTAAAGGAGTATGACTATGTTTTCACTATTGATGTAAATGAAAGTGGGCCTTCCTTCAAACTGCCGTATAACATCACTGATGATCCTTGGCTGACTGCATACAACTTCCTGCAAAAGAATGATCTGAATCCTATGTTTCTGGATCAGGTGGCCAAGTTTATTATGGACAACACTAAGGGGCAAACACTGTTGAGTACAAGTGCTCAATTTTCAGATCCATTTACAGGTAAAAATTTTAAACTTAAATGATGACATCAGTCACTCCTCCCAGTTTTGCGTCATCAGCAAACTCGCTGGCGGTGCACTCTGACCCATCTTCCAGATCATTAATGAAGATGTTGAACAGGACTGGATACAGTACTGACCCCTGGGGAACACCACCAGTGACTGGCCTCCAACTAGATATTGTGCCACTGATCACCACCCTCTGGGCCTGGCTGTGCAGCTCCTTTTCAATCCACCTCACTGTCTGCTCAGGCAGACTTCAGTGTCATAGCTCCTGCACTTCTTGTACAGGACTTTCATGTCCTCAAATGAAGAGGGCAAGGCACAGATACATCTGACAAGAAAAATATGAAAACTCGACAAACTTGTGAAGTATTTGTCAGAACAAATCTTCAACAAAATTTTAATCAAGCCAGATGTATTTTTCAGTCTAGTCTTTTTTTCCAGTGGAAGAAAACTCTGCTTTTCATATTAGTCCAAGAAGTGGCCAGGTGCTGTTAATACAATTAATAAAATACAAAAATTTAGCTAGAGAATGAACTGAAACTAGGTGAAATACATAAATGACCCTTTTTCAGGCAGGAAATGGAACTAGAACAAGTTAATTATTCATAAGCTGAACCGTGTTAATCAATGACGTCTTGCTTATCACATTTACAAAATAAACCAGTCTTATTTCAACTGATTTCACAAAGGTCAAGTTAGGAGTAAAATGTCATCAAAATAATTGAGCTAAATCTTTTTCTTGCAATGAACTAGAAGCGAGAATACAGGCTGTTAATCAGGTTCAGATGTAACTCAGAGCCGCAGTCATCTGAACTTACGCACATACTTTTGATCTGGCTGTGTCCAAATGTGTAATGCATATGCTCAGAAAACAAATTTCTGACCCTCAAATAATTAGGAAGAATTTGTTCAGCATCAGGAGACTTCTGTGTGGATAGGATCAGATTTCTTACAATGCCACAAGAAACAATAAGACGTATTTGATATTTGGCTTTATTTTTGAGCTGCTTCTGTCTGAAAAGCATTGAAATTTAAAAACATCAAGCTGTGTACAGTAGTCATTGCTTTTCTTATGGTTTTACTAGGTGCTGGACGTTATGTTCCAGGCTCTTCCTCTGGATCAAGTACAATACCTGCGGCAGATCCATTTACTGGTAATGTGAAATTTATAATCTGTCTTGCTAGCATTTAAGATGTGTATTTTATTGTGTTCAGTTGCATTCAGTGTTTGGCTCCAGAACACTGTTTTTTGCAGTTCTGCATTTGGGGCAGTAGTGTGGGACAGACTGCTAAAGTGGACTCTGCCACTGTCAAAGCATGTCCAGATCTGTTCAGTAGAGAAGAGCCCTCTGCTCTCTGGTCTGCCTCTTGTCACTGTCCTCTACAGCAGAGGAGTAGGTCTTAACCTCATGTTTTGTCAAACTCTCATAGGCATGGCCAACATGGGAATGGGTATATTCATTGAAATAGTTTTCTTTTTTCCTTATTATTCCTTTTTTCTTATTACATGACTTTTGTTGGTGCCTTCTGCCCTAAATTTCAGATTCTAACCCTCCCTGGTATAGCTAGTTTAAAGTCCTCCTCTCTAGTTTAGCAAGCCTGTTTGCAAAGACATTCCAGCCCTGATTTGTCAGTCTTATCCCATCCTTGATCGGTAGCTCTTGCTCCTCAGAGAGGGTCCTGTAGTCAATAGATGCCAAAGTCCTGCTTGCAAAACCAGCCATGCAGTGAGTTGCTGACCCACTTGATGAGTCTGTTTCTACTCAAGTGTGTTTGCTTTGCTGGCAGCATCAAAGAAACACCACCTGGGCCCTTCACCCTTGCTGCCAGAGGCCTCTAATCACTCTTGATACTCTCCAGGACTTCCTTGGCAGTATCACTGATGCCAATATGGAAGAGTAACAGGGTAGTAGTCTGAAGGCCAGGCAAGCTGTGGCAGTTTCTCTGCAGCATCCTGGCCTCCAGCAGACACAAACCTCCCAAGATACTGTGTCATGTCAGTAGATGGGTGCCTCCATACCTTGCAGGAGGAAGCCTCCCATTACTGCTGCTTGCCTTTCGCCTTTTTGCAGGCCCGAGGTGCAGTCTCAGCTGGCTCTGATGCATCTCCTGTTGGGTGTTTGTCCTCACCACTGCCAGGGCACTGTTCCTGTTCCACAGTTGCAGATCTCCAGGTGGAGCAGAAGCCTTTGCTGTTGCCAAAAGCCACAGCCTTCAGCCTTCCCTATCTTGAGAGTCTTTCTCAGTTCCTATTCTGCTGTCTCCAGCTATGTCTCCTCCCTTGCTTTGGTGGCTCTGGCTGTGGTATCTGCAGATGCCAAGACACTGCAGTTCCTTCATCTGAGGCCTCAGTGTGACAGAGTCCACTTCCCATAGGAGAGGCCACTGCTGCCCCCAGGCACAGAGAGAGACCAGGCGCGGGCAGCGTTGTCCTCCCCCTGGAGCTTGTCATGGATAAGGTATCTGCTGTGCTGAGGGCCTTTGCGCCAGTGGGTGCCGGAGACCATGCCAGAATGTCTCCCAGCTGTGGGTCACTTAGCTTGCCAATGCCATCATCACCACCAGCACCACCCTCATGCATCTGCATAGATTTAATCCTTAAATTTCACGAAGTGTTGAAGACTTCTTAATTCCTTTAGTGCAAAATAACACCTTTAATAGTGATGTTTGAAAGTTAGTAACTAAATACAGGTATACATTAGTGTTTAAAAAGCCTAATGTCTCCAATCAGGTGCTGGTCGCTATGTTCCTGGTTCAGCATCAAATGCAGTGGGTGGGGTTGATCCATATACAGGTAAGACATGATGCCTGCCAACAAAAAGCATTGCTGATCTTTTGCTTCAGTTTTTCCTTTGACAAGGATTCTATATTGATGCAAATTTACACTTGATTAAAAATAATGAGCTGATTGAAGCTGCTTATACTCTGGAAATTATTCAGAAAATAGGGATAACAGAGCCTTCCTTTACACACAGGAATCATGCACAGAAACTTTAAGATATACGATAGTAATCTGTTTTTCAGAGGATTTTTGTTTTACTAGTAGTTGTGTTGTTGATCAAAGAAACTGGTAGAGGTACTTAATGGAAATTAGAGTATCAGCCACTAATTCACCTATAATTCTAGGAAATCATTATAGATCATAGATTAAAGCTTTTCATTACTCTTTCTAAAGAGATTTCAGGCTACTATTGCATGTGACTTAACTTGTTCATATCTGCAAATCTTCCAATATATAAAAACTTTGCATATTCATTATGAAAATAATCAAAAGATAAGATTGCAGGGGCAGAAGGCATCTTTGTTCTAAAATGACCCTTGCCATTTTCATGTCTTAACGTTCCTATGAATGACTATCTATTTAGGTCATGTAATTCAGAAATCACAGTTGATAATTTACAGTTGTATAGTGCATTTTACATTGGGGAGAACAGTTTGTGAAGGTATTACTTTTAAGCTTTAACCCTTGAATATAAAAATAACATAAGGAATGAAGCTATTTGCATAATTATTCAATTTTTTTTTTAAGATATTTTTCTGAGTAATGTCCAGCAGGAGGGACTTACTAATAGAATATTGTTCTGTGTCAGACACTTTGGTACATTGTTGAACTTCTCATATTTCTTTTGTGTAGGAATGGGTGCCTACCAATCAGCTGCAGCAAAAGTTGAAAATATTTATTTTCCGAAGAAGGATGCTGTCACCTTTGACCAGGCCAATCCTACACAGATACTGGGTCAGTGTTTTAATTTCAAGGATGGTTTTATTTTTCATCTGTCTGAAGTAACTTCACTTTTGATCTTTTCAAAAAGCTAAGTGATTGTCCATAGCTTCCCTACTATTTCTTGGTTTTGACCTTTTAAAATTGCATTCATCACTTTAATGATGCATGTATTTGAAGGCTTATGAGTATGAGTAAATTTCACAAGAACTCTTATCTAATATGGGATATCCATTTTTTTTCCCCTTGGCTTGTGTCTACTGTTGTTCAGCATCTTTTTAATCAAGCTGGTACATTTGAATACCGTACTTTTTTTCACCTAGCTGCTGGGTATGTAGCTCATGTGCAATCCCTTTCTGATTTTGCTCATGAAAGTTTTAGTTCATCAGATAGCCATACAGTATAATCTATGAAGTTTTAAAGTAAGGCACTCTGCAATGTCGTGGGTTGTAATAGTCACTTCTATATTTGAGCAGAAGTCTCTGCATAACAGAAAAAGAAAACAGTGTACAATATTTAGTAATTATACCCATTTTTGGTAAATGTTATTATTGGCTTGTTATTGTCTTTCTTTTCCCATGTTTTCTACTCTCTTCTATATTTTTCTGTAAACGTTCCAAAGAATCTCTACCCTATTTGTCACTGATTTATTTCAGTATGTTTTCGTAGAATGCCTTAGTACATTTATGGGTTTTGTAAAACTAGTTTATATTCACAATGTACCTGCCTTGAAGATCTCAAAAATAAAATTCTCTCACTTCCTTCCCTCCCCTTTTTATACAGAGCTTAAAAATATTGTAGTCTTCTGACAAGAAAACTTAAAATGAGAGATTCTACTTTTCAGAAAAAGCATACCTTCACATTTATTCAGCTTCTTGAAGAGAAGAGGCCTTATAGTCATGGAATCACAGAATGGTTTGGGTTGGAAGGGACCTTTTGAAGGTCATCTCATCCAAACCCCCTGCCATGGGCAGGGAGATCTTGGTGAAAGCCCCATCCAACCTGACCTCAAACACTTCCAGGGATGGGACATCCACAACTTCTCTGAGCAACCTATTCCAGTGTCTCTTTTGGTTTAAAACCAATGCCCCTTGTTCTGTCAATACAGGCCCTGGTAAAAAATCTCCCTCCATCTTTCTTACGAGCCCCCTTTACATATTGAAAAGCCTCAATAAGGTCTCCCCGGAGGCGTCTCTTCTCCGGGCTGAATAACCCCAGCTCTCTCAGCCTTTCCTCATAGGAGAGGTTTTCTAGTCTCTGATCATTTTTGTGGCCCTCCTGTGGACCCATTCCAACAGGTCCATTTATTTCTTGTGCTGGGGACCCCAGAGCTGGATACAGTACTCCCGGTGGGGTCTCATGAGAGTGAACAATTACCTCCCTCGACCTGCTGGCCACACTTGTTTTTCATGCAGCCCAGGATACAGTCAGCTTTCTGGGTTGCAAGCGCATATTACCGGCTCGTGTCCAGTTTTTAATCCACCAGTATTCCCAAGTCCTCTGCAGGGCTGCTCTCAATCCCTTCATCACCCAGTCTGTACCAATACTGGGGATTGCCTCGACCCAGGGGCAGGACCCCTTGCACTTGGCCTTCTTGAACTTCATGAAGTTTGCATGGTTCCACTTCTCAAGCCTGTCAAGATCTCTCTGGGGCCTTCTGTCTGCAGTATTGCTCTTCTACATATTTTTCAGGTTTCATTTGCTGTTTAAAAATATCAGTCAGAATCTTCAGTCAGCCTCATCCTGTTTCCCTGAATTTTCTTGCGCTCTGCTATTTGTTCAGGGAGAAGATAAAGGATTCACAAACTAGAAATTTTTTTTCTGGAGGTTGTCACTAGTGAATAGATTTAGCCTCCTCTTAGTTTTGCACAGATTTTACGGTAAAATTTTGTCCAGAACTTACTGAGAGAGAGAACAGCAAGACTGGCTGACTTTCATTCTGCTATGTTACAGCAAAGTAGAGACTTTTACTTAGTCTTAAAAACATACTTCGTCAGTTTATTTTTGTCCAGTATTCTTGAAGGATAACTGTACTAGCCACAGTTTTAGTGGCTTGTTTGGTTTTTGAAGCTTAGAATCTGATAACTAGGTTTACTGAGTTTCCTGCAGTTTTGTAACAGTGCATGGTTAAATACACTTGCAAATATTATGACTGGACTGCGATAGATTTAATAGCTGTATGTTTTTTTTCATAAGAGGCCCACAGTTGATTTTTGTGCATACTGTAAAACTCATAAGGGTGTACTGATGCAATGCTGCCTGCTTGTGTGCTTATTGACGTGGCCCTCATCAATTCTGGAAGAACTATGATTGACAGGTGCTTAATGCTAGATCCATTTTAAGCAAAATGCTGTACATGAAAATAATTTTTCCAATACTTTGATTTTTCAGTCATATTGAAATTTTAATATAGGACGTGGTGCAATCATATTTTCCTTATAACACTTAAATAATAAAAATACAAAAACTGTGATCACACTAAGAACATACAGTTTCTTTATTGTTTTTACTACCTAGTAATAGAAAAGACCAAAAAAGGAATCATGTTTCAGTTATGAAAACTAATGGTCTTGTGATCCTTTCCTGCATTTTTGTTTGCATGTAGGCTAAGATGTGAATTCTGAATCACTGTGTTGCAGTATTAGAGGGAGACTTAATAGTAGCAATCATTGTGATGATTAGAAACTTAAAATTAGAAAGATGATGAAACTAGGAAAATTAATGTTTAAAAATTTGAAACCTCCTAAAACAATTACAATAGTTGTAACTTGTTTGTAAAGTGTTTTTGTAGTATTTCATTCAAGATCTGGATTTGTGAAGTTCTGATGTTGGAAAGCCATGCCTCTTCTGTTGGTCTTACAGGCAAATTAAAGGAACTTAATGGCAGTGCAACTGAAGAACATAAGCTTACAGAAGATGACTTGATAATCCTAGAAAAGTTATTGTCTGCAACATGCAACACCTCTGCAGAAACACCTACAGCACAGCAACTCCAGACTTTATGGAGAGCAGTTAACTGGCCAGAAGGTAGACGCAATTATTTTTTGTACCATTATCTCACCAATACTTCACCATGAGCCAGAAGTCTTGTTATGCTGGCTGTTACACAGTCTGTCCCAAAGAGTTTATAACCCAAGTAGAAATCAGAATATGATAAACAGATGCTAATAGCACTCATCAGTGGCAGGGGCAGTGGCCTGAATTGCAAAATTGGGAATCGGTTGTCAGGTTTTGTTGTTGGCACAACAATAGAGGAGAAACTTGATATAAACATCAGTCATGGTTATTTCATTAGCAGAAGCATCCTCAAGAGCTTTGAGGCTTGTTTGGAAATAGAGCAAAGAAGTGTGAGGTTGAAGTCCTAAGTTGTTATCAAATGAGAGATGAAATTATGGAGCTAAATTATTAAAAAAAATCTCAAAAGTAGCTCCTGTGTAATATGGTAGAAGTTACTGAAGCTAGGTTGCGTGGTTAGAACTGCGTTAGTGAAATAACATTCTGAATGAATGCAAGTGGAGGTGATACAATTTCATTTGATAATGTATCATTGTCAGCACTGATGGATTGGAAAGGCTGGTTTGGTTGTTACTGTACATTCTGGAAAAATGGATACATTGCATATACCGATATCTAAATGTGCAGTTAAAATGAACTGCTTTCTTGAAGTTGCAGTTAAAGATTTATTAACAGGAAGAATATTTTGGTATTAAAAATTCATACTTGTTATATAACATCACTTAATCAAACTATGCTTTGCACAGCTGGGAGCTGGTGATGGCTAGTGTCTTCATACCTTTCAGACTCTGTATTGTACAAAGTGTTAATTCTCAAGATTCTGTGTATCTGCAGGAAAAACTGCTCAATAAGTAGCTAAGCCGGTTTAGCTTTGATTTAGTTATAAGCGTGAGGTACTGATAGTAGACCCAAGGAGACAGATACATTTGACATTTGGTAAAGTAGGGGGGAACTACTGAACAAACTCTTGAGTTCAGTTTCCTTACAATGATTTCCAGCTGATCAGTTGAGGACAGCTTTTTTTTTTTCTTTGCAAATTATGTCTGAGAGTTGAAGGTAGTCTAAAATTTTTTTCTCATTTTTCTTTCTGTAAGCAGTTTTGTAGCTATACTAAACTGTAAGGTATGTAATGAGGACAAAGGGAGATGCTGCCTGTGTAGGGGTGTTCAGTCACTGGGAAGCTTTCAGAGGCCTTTTTTGGATTAGTTACACTTTGTGCTTGGCTTCAGTGTTAGCAATTAGAGCTTTTAGGAAAGATTTTAAGATTTTTTGCAAAGCACTGTGTTTATCCTAAACGAAGGAGCATGTTTTTCGTGATTAATTGAAGTGTTACTAGAATGGGTTTGTCAATACTTGTCTTTATGAATTTCAAGCAACTTGTGCTTTACCTAAATCTCTTCCTGCATGAAACTGTTACTGTTTCCAAAGCTAGGGGTTCAGGAATGTCCGTATCTGGAAGAAACTCACCAGCACATTTGCACATAATGCAATATTAACACTAAAATATTTTTTGTTTTGTTTCTTAGATATTGTCTTTCCAGCCCTAGACATTCTTAGATTGTCTCTCAGGCATCCCACTGTGAATGACAACTTCTGCAGTGAAAAGGATCACGTACAATTTATCGTCCTTCTCCTTAAATTTCTGAACCCTAAAGGAAAGCAAGCAAACCAGCTGTTGGCACTTAGAGCTCTTTCCAATTGTTTTGTCAGCCAGGCAGGCCAGAAGCTCATGATGGAACGGAGAGATGAAATAATGACACAAGCAATAGAAACAAAATCAGGCAATAATAAGAACATCCACATTGCGCTTGCCACACTGACGTTGAACTATGCTGTATGCTTACATAAAGTCAACAACATTGAGGGCAAAGCTCAATGTTTATCAGTAATCAGCACAGTTATGGAAGTTGTTCAAGATTGTGAAGCCATTTTTAGACTGCTTGTGGCTCTTGGGACGCTAATCAGTGATGATACAAATGCTGTGCAATTAGCTAAGTCTCTTGGAGTTGACTCTCAAATAAAAAAGTATGCCTCTGTATCAGAACCGGCTAAAGTAAAGGAATGCTGTAGGTTTGTTCTTAATCTGCTATAATTGTTTGTTTTTCTTAGCACTTGGGAGAGACAGTGTATGCAGAAAAAAAAAAAAGACGCTTTTGTTCATATTTTGTGACAGACTATGAGAAAATACTGTGGATTAATTACACTTGATTTGTTGCAAGACACAGAGCAAATAAAACTTTTTACACTGTTTGTCATTTGACTGCTTTTCTGAAGTCTAGCGCGCAGGATCTTCAGAGGAAGTCCTTCTGATGTAGCTCAGATCAGAACAGATCACCAAGAAGTCAAACCATCTCAGTACTTAAAGGTCACCTAGGTGGAAACTTAGGAAATGGCAGTGATTCAGTAACTGTCAACTCCAACACCCACCCCAACGGCACAGTGAGTGTTTCTTGACTGTGCTTTTTGTCAGCAGAGAAGGTGCCCTGAGAACTGTTAAGGTCAATGGGGTTTCTCACAAGCCTATTGGTTAATGGTAATCCTGGTCAAATATCCTGGTAAGGAAATGGCATGTACCTAATTTTCCGTCAGCTTTTTTCTATTTCCTTTTAGAAACCTAGCTGTTTTATGTTTCCTTATGTTTTTAACCTAGAACTGTGTGACTTTTTGAGGGGTAGAATCTTTAACTGACATATAGATGTCATGCTTCACTGGTAAGTGAGTATGTTGTAGCTTGTAAAATGGCTTGAACTTCTATAAAAGCTTTTACATGACTTTTAATGACAGGAATACTCCACCAGTTGATAGCAAGTATCTTACTGTAAAGTATGTTGTAAAATATTAGATGATTTAAAAAAAAAAAAAGGTATCCTGAAGAGTGGGAGAGAAATTTAGGTGCAGAGAACAGATTGAGCAGCAGAAACTGGAAGAGGCTTCCTAGAGGTGGTCGATGCCCCAACCTGTCAGTGTTTAAGAGGCCATTTGGACAATGCTGTTAACAATTTGCTTTAACTTTTGCTAAGCCCTGAAGTGGTCAGGCAGTTGACTAGATATCATTGTAGGTCCTTACAACTGAAATATTCTATTCTGAACTGTACAAATGTAAAGTCAAGTTTTACGAAGTAGCTTTAAGATAATAACTGTGGTAACTGTAAAAAGGGAAAACAATACTTTACAGCTATTCCAGCAGATCCAAGATGTTCAGCTCAAAAGGGGAATGTTATTTCCTACTAGTCCTGCAGATGTTACACGTTGGTCTAGAATTAAGATGAAGTCAAGATGGTCAATGTTCAAGTTAGATTTTTCATTAGACTAATAGAATGGAAAACATGAAAAAAATGGGCATCACATGATACCTGTCTGCCTCACCTGTGCCAGGTGTGAAGGATCTTGTGACCAAGAGCTCTGACTTTTTTTGCTCAGTTTACCTGAACTGTCTGAATTACTGCATTACCTCCAGCAAACCTTGCGTCTCAGATCCTTAGTTGCACACTTGTACTGTTAAACTTCTGATGAATTTCCAGATATGTATCCTCACAAACAGTCTTGATCATGGCCTCAGTCACAGGTTTTCTCATTTGGTCCATTGCAGGTTCATGTATAAGGCAGTCCAAGTGATTATTCGGTATTCACAGTGCTTAACAATGGATCATCCCCTTCCTGGGAAAACATCGAAGAAGTTACCTTTAGGAAACATGTCTGTGAAATAATGTGCCTGTCTGTTGAATTTTGGTTGCCTACTATACTGTTCTTGAAGCTTTAGCTTTTTAATGTTGTACTCTTTAACTCTGTTTGTACATGTGCTATTTTAAGAAATCTATACTCATCTAACATTTTGGTTTTGTTATTGTGGGATTGCTCTGTTACAGATTACCTCTTTATGTGAAACTTGTCATGAACTTCCCAGACCAAAAATTAATGTTTATATTAATAAACATACTCTGGCAACTCCAAGAAATGGTATATTAAGAGATACTACAAAATTCACTTAAATTTGCAGGGAAGTGATGGGGCATAGCAAAAAATCCTTCATCTGGGGACGTCAGTGCTACATGTTAGGCAAGATATACAAAGCAGGCCAGGAATATGTGGATAGAAGGACAGCTGCTGCTACAGGGTACTGTGATACCTGAGCGTTCCATGAGGTAGCATTGTCTGAGGGAACAGAGGGAGTGCAGGACGTTGGATCCCATCCCCACAGGAATTGTCCTTGGAGTGTCTGTCTCCACAGAGACATGCGGTGGCAGCATAGGCAATGGAGGTAACGTGCAAAGGAGGTAACGGGGGGAAAAAAAAAGTTACAACACAGAGCAAGATCTTACAGTCTGTTGTAAGATCTTACAACGAGGGTTTTGGGTTTTTTAATTGACACAGAAACATGTTGGCATTCTTATGCTTTCATGCATTTGTACAGTAGCTTTCAGTGACGATTCTCGCAAGCTAGCAACACAGAGTGAGTGCAAAAAAGGGAGAAATTCACATCTCTTACAAAGCTGTGGATGTTTTTTTCTGTAAAAATATGTTTGTGAGATTTCAAGGGCCCCTTGATGAGAAATGGTGTCTTCTGCTAAGAATTCAAAGCTTCCCGGTGGATGATATAATTCTGTTTGCATCTTTTTCGAAGCTACAATGGAAGCTCTTAGAAAGAACAGCAAACAGCATGTCGTAGCACTTCACAGTGAACCTTTGTTGTTAGGCCTGCCTTGGGTTTTAGGAAGTGGGAGTACCTGGGATCTACTTAGGCCAGATCTCAGCATACAATATAGAATGCCTTACTAGGGAACTGAATGAGGAATCAAAACTGACTTAGGTCAGCACCAACTGCTGTATGTGCCAAGACAAATGGTGACTATAGTCACATAGCCTGGGATACATGAATCACAAGATTTCTGTAATGATTATTATTATGATGCACCTTGCTCTCATCAGGGCCTAATCTTGTCTGAGATGTCCGAGTAAGACATGTAAGTAAACATGGCTGAGTAAGACATGTTCAGGTTGCAGACAGAAATAGACTAACTTCAGTCTGCAAACCTATTTCATTAAAAAGCACTATATATTGAACTATACATTCATGAATTGTTGAATGCAGTCACTTCTCTATAATGTAATATGCTAAAGTTACCTACTATAGAAGAGTAGTACCATAGATCAGTTCTAAAAGACGTAACTGTAAATGCTTTAGGAAATGTTGTAACCTGCTGGTTCCAATCGTGTGAAGTTTTTTGTTTAAAAATATTTAGTTAAACTGTCTTAGCTGAATTTGATCCATTACTGTATGCTGTGATCGCTTTCCTTTTTTATTCTCCCTCTCTTTAAACTATCAACAAATCCAAAGTCTAGGAACAGTGGACATTTCCCACCTTTTCAAAATGTGTAGTGAATAGACTGATATTAAATGTTCAGCAACAAGATGCCATACGTGACTGTTGAAAACCTAGAGAAGTATCTGGGCATTTTCAGATTTCCTGTTCTTCCAATGGATTTTTGATGTTTATTGACCATAGAGATTGACCTTTCCATTTTGGTAAGAATTTTTTTTTTTTCTAGACTTTCCAATTGCAAAGATGAATTTGCAAATGTGGACCAAGTCACTGTTGATCTGTATCAAACACATGGAAAAAAGAAGTGTTAAGTATGAGCTACCCCTTTTTGAAAGTAAATTTTAAGCCTGACTGTGACCACATAAATGCCAATATTGTTAGAAATCGTTTTATCAACACATCCAGTTAGCTTCTGTACTCTGTGTGAATAGATGCTGCATTCATTGAAAACATAGTCCACACAAATAAAGGTGCAGGTTTTGTACAAAAATAACAGCTCAGGCAGTTATTAGGTATTTGATTATTCCTAATTCATCTTTAACACTTGTCCTTTTTGCATGCGTAAGCATATACTGCTTAACCTTTTATTTTCCGTATAGTTGCTCAAGGGATCTCATTTTCATGTCAAACTTGTACACCCCTCATCAACATTTCCTAATTACATTACCTCTGACACCTTCAGAGTACACTAAGGCTGTCATTTTGTGATGATAAATATTAAGATCTATTCCCACCCATCCAGGTAATCTAACAACACAGACTAACCAGGATCAACTCTGACCCTGTGAATGCACATTATCTGACTCTGCAAGGACTCATGCTTACTGAACAAAGAACAGATGACACTTAATAAATTCTTCCAACCCTTTTGAAAACACAATGTCAAGCACTGTATTACCTGTATTGGTTTATTTCTTTTTATCATCTGGCCGCAATGCTTTTGATCACCGCTAGCTTTGTACAACTTGCATTTGGTGGACCTTGACCTAAATGGGGCAGTAGCACCAATGCTGTTTGAAGATCCAACACAACATGGAATGTATCAAACTGGAAGCAATGTGTTTGAATCTGGGAAAAAACAGACCTGGAAGAAAAACAAATGGACACTCTGGTGCATTAAATAAAGAAGGAAATTGTTGCACATCTCTGCACAGAAAAGGAGGTTCTGAATACAAATTCTTTCTGTGTCATGATGGACATTTGTCTACCCCGGTCTTTATGTCAAGTTAACTATCCTCTTTAACTGGCATTTCCCTCTATGGCCAATCTTGGGGCTGGTGGCTGAAGGCTGACCATTCTCTTACTGAATTGCACAGAGTGGTCATCTGCCTTCAGTGGGCTTCTCTGCCATGATTCCCACTTGTTTGCATCCCATGAAAAATTGTCACGCTTCTGTGATACTCATGAAATAACACAGAAAAACTAAATTTATTGTTGACATTAGCATTTACTGGGATATGCATATTTGATTGTTTATTATGGCTATTTCCATGCTTGAACCATTTTTAGTGGAGCATATCTCAGTAGAACTTAGCAATACATCAACCACATCGGTAAGAACAAGTTTCTGGGGACAAAAGGTTACATGAGAACCAAGTTAAGGTGATTACTGTGATGTGTAACCTGTTGCTTAAAGCTTCATACCAGGGGCTCAGAAGAGCAGCTCTAACAATTTTTAAGCAAGTCTGAGATGTGACTCTCCAGAACAACAGAGAATTAAGTCGAATGTACCTCTGCTGGGCAGACTATATGGACTATAGCAAAGACTAGAACCAGACTAGGCAAATCAGCATTAAACATTGTTTTTTTCCCCAGGCAGAACATCTTCGCTGAGTAAAAAAACAGATGGATGGCTGGGCCCAAAGAGTTGTGGTGGAGTTAAATCCAGGTGGCAGCCAGTCACAAGCGGTGCTCCCCAGGGCTCAGTGTTGGGACCAGATCTGTTTAATATCTTTATCAACGATCTGGATGAGGGGATTGAGTGCACCCCCACTAAGTTTGCAGATGACACCAAGTTGGGTGGGAGTGTTGATGTGCTGGAGGGTAGGAAGGCCCTACAGAGGGACCTGGACAGGCTGGATTGATGGGCTAAGGCCAACTGTATGCGATTCCACAAGGCTCAGTGCTGGGTCCTGCACTTGGGTCACAACAACGCCATGCAACGCTGCAGGCTTGGGGAAGAGTGGCTGGAGAGCTGCCTGG